CTATTATATGTTATAGGATAAATCAATATATAACTTTATTAATTGTTAGAAACCAGGATTTTCAGCATAAGGAGAATAAAGATACAATTATATAAACAGAAAAACAAAGAAGTAAAAACCCATAATTCTAAATGGGAATTGATAATATAAGTATGAACTGATGATGTATTTCCTCCTCAAAAAAAGGGGGACTCTAGTTCTGTCCACAGAAAAGATTTAGAAACAGTGACCAATCCAATAGCAATGACCATCCCCACAGTGCCCAGACTGTGATATCTAAACAACCATTTCTCACTAAGAAATCAGGGCTCCTTGAAAAAATGTCTAACTCCAAATCTGGGGCAGAAAATGTATGAACCTAGAACATCTTGTCATATCACAAAATAAGGACTATTAAGGACTAATGTGGTTGTGTCAAAAGAATTTAGGAGCCAACTTCAAGAATTTAGGAGTCTCTTCAGAGACTCCCACTGGAATGTACGGGAAAATCTGAGCACCAAAGGAATATCTGCAATAAATTAACAGATATCAAAAATCTTAATAATATGGAGAATAAAAATTTTACTGGTCACTGAACTAACTCATTAACTGAAAACATAAATAGAGGGAAATACTCAGGCATTTATCCTGCTTTTTCTATATGAACTATACCTCAGAGTAACAATGGTAATAAAGGAAAATTCTTCTTTAAGAATTCCACCTAATAAATGAAGAAAATAAAGATAAAATTCATTTTGCAACTACCAATGAAATAATGACCTAAGCAAAGACTATCAATAGCTATTAAAACAGTTGGTAATACTTGCACCTACTGATCAATGTTAATATCATTAAAGAGATAAATCAGACATTATGTGCCTCCTAAAGAGATGCAACAGCAAGTACACAATACCACTTAAAAAATATTCAGTCCCGGGGAGCCTGGGTGGCTCAGTCAGTTAAGTGTCTGACTTCAGCTCAGGTCATGATCTCAGGGTCCTGGGATCGAGCCCCACTCAGGGGGGCGTCTGCTTGTCCCTCTCCTTCTCCCTCTGCCCCTCCCCCCGACTTGTGCACATTCTCTCAAAAATAAATAAATCTTTAAAAAAAAAAATGTTCAATCCCCCATCTCCAAAAACAATCAGACTTAAATCTGATCAAGCTTCTTGATTTAACTACCAGTTTTATGGAAATACATGGAACAGGATAACTTGTAAAACCACACCATGGGGATAAAAATCAGTAAAAACTAGACTATGGGAAAATCTCATGAAAAATGATGGATTTTTTCAACAAATAAATTGCAAAGGAAAAAAAAAGAAAAGGAAGAGAGACTTCTTAAGTTAAAACAGACATAACCATATCAATCAATGTGTGGACTTTGGATCCCAATTAAAAAAAAATTTTTTTATGCATGATCAAGGAAACTTTGATAGGAACTGAATATTTTATTATATCAAGAAATTATTGTTAAAAGTTCTAGGTGATAGTGGCATTGTGAGTTGCGATCTTTTTTTTAGGGATACATACTGAAGTATTTATAGCTGAAATTATATAATATCTGGGATCTGCTTCCAAACATTCCAGGTCAAAGGTGTGTGGAAGGAAATAGTAGGTATAGATAAAACAAGACTGACCATATATTGCCCATCCCTGAAGCTGGGCAATGGGCTCATGGGGGTTCATTTTACTCTACTTACATATGATTGCAATTTTCCATAATAAAAAATGTTTTAAATCATCCTTCAAACTTTTATTTTTTAAAGATTTTATTCATTTATTTGAGAGAGAGAGAGAGAAGCGCAAACAAGAGAGCATAAGCAGGGGGAGCAGCAGAGGGAGGAGAAGTAGACTCTCCCCTGAGCAGGGAGCCTGATATGAGGCTCAATCCCAGGACCCCGAGACCACAACCTGAGCCGAAGGCAGCCGTTTAACTGACTGAGCCACCCAGGCGCCCCTAAATCATCTTTTAAACTTTCAGATGACAAACTCAGAATAACCATTCTAATCGGTAGAATTTTAAGAATTCCCATATTCGACATATTAAGGGGTTCCTTTTCCTTCCCACAGCATGAGCCAACCCCACCTTACCACCCCCCTTACCTTTGGAACCATCTCTATATTTATAAACATGGAATCACCTACCAAGTTACTGCCATTAAGACTCTTCCCCCTCTAACACCAGCTGCCCCTACAAGAATAACCAGAGACAGATACATCAACTCTGCAATAGCCTGTCTCTAGTCCCAACAAAGCCCACACTGAATGCCCTTCTCCCCCAGTTAGCCACACAGAAGCTGCTACAGGAGCCCTATAGTCAGAATGACAACTCTGGTCTGTATATTACTGCTTCCACTAACATTTATCTTTTTTAAAAGGAATTGCCTTAATTTTTTTTAGCACTAATATAATAGCTAAATTAAATATCTCAAACAAAGACTCAAAAGAATCATATAGTTTCCCTGAGTTTCTGCATTCATGAGTTTATTATTATAGCTCTCATGCTCTATTGAATTCCAGTGAATTTCCAAGAAATCTCTGCGATATCTTGTTCAGTACCCCTGTAACTACTTGAAGCTCAAAAAGATACAGGATACTAAGAAGCAAAGGAGAAAATAGGGAAGTCCTAAATTCCCAAGAGTTTCAGAGAATATCTAGAAAAAATAGTGTGAAAAACAGAAGAATGGAATATTCATTTTGCCTAAAGATATTTCATTAATAGTGGGGCGCATGGGTGACTCAGTCCGTTAAGCACCTGCCTTAAGCTCAGGTCACTGCATTGGGCTCCCTGCTCAGCGGGGAGTCTGCTTCTCCTTGTGACCCTACCTCTGCTCGTGCGCTCGCTCTCTCTCAAATAAATTAAAAAAAAAAAAAAAGATATTTCATTAGTAGCCAAGAGAAATACCCCTTTTATCTCAAGTAATAACATCTTCCTTTGGAAGAACAGTAATCTTTCTTTCTTTCTTTTTTTTTTTTTTTTAAGATTTTATTTTATTTATTTGAGAGAGAGAGCACAAGAGGGGGTAGGGTCAGAGGGAGAAGCAGACTCCCCACTGAGCAGGGAGCCCGATGCGGGACTTGATCCTGGTACTCCGGGATCATGACCTGAGCCAAAGGCAGTCGCTTAATCAACTGAGCCACCCAGGTGCCCAGAACAGTAATCGTTCTAATAGTTCAATAAACTTCAACAAACTGTGTGATGGGTACTGAAAGGGAAAAATAATTATCACTGGATGATAGTTTTGATACAGGGGTCACTCAGGTAAGGAGAGAGGTGGCCTTTCCTTCTCTCACCTTCAAATTTTAAAATGGTGAATTTGGATCATGTTTGCAACCAACATTTTCAACAGACTTTCTGTATAAAAATTATTTCTATTTTTACTAATACTGTATTATAGTTTACTGCTGTGCAAATAGAAAAGTTAGAATGTTTTTTTTTTTTAAATTACTTAAAGTAACAAATAAAAGAAAATTTCAAGCCTGCTATTTTCCTGTCCTTGATTGAGACATTAAATAGGTATTAGAGCCAGAAAATGACAGATGCTTTCACATCCCAGCATTAGGGCTGTAGAGTAAAGGAATACTGACGGCGTCGCATCTACGTAGCCTCTTCTTTGCCTACACAGTTACACAGAACACACTAAACATTATTAAAACAATGGTGAAAAATACTTGTGTTTTCCTATTCTAGTGCTTGTGTTCACTACTAGTTCATAAACTAGGGTACTTTCAAGTTCCATTCTATCTTTAGCTATGTAAAATTCAATGAAAACTAATACTAAGTCGTGTTCTATTGTCTCTATGCTCCCTTTGATAGACTACAACCATGAGTATGATTTCTGTACAGTACATACTTCTCTCCCATCCTCATCTTAAGGCTCACCAACACTAAGAAGAAGATTTCTGACAGTGTGCTATCTGCCTTTCACAGGGAGGAACATAAAGATATGGAAGAGAGCTAAACTTATTTAGGCTAGCATGGAACTGAGATTTCCACATTTCCTTTCCTCTGGAATTACTAAGCAGTGATTGTTCTTCAGTTCAGCCTTAGTTCCTCTTAATATCTCCCATCATCCACCAATACCGAAAAACTTAGGGAGACTGAAGAAAAGGTGAATGACATGTCCTTGAAATCATCCTCTTCCTCCTGCTTATCACTGGGTAACTTACTCTGAAGAGGTTGTATACTTAATGTTTCCCCTAAGAACCTTGAGTAAAATATGGTTGACTCGAACAACACAGCTTTGAACTGCATGGGTCCATTCATACACAGATTTATTCAATAAATACAGTACAGTATGAGAAATGTATTTTCTCTTCCTTACAATTTAGGTAACATTTTCCTTTCTCTAGCTTACTTGATTATAAGAATACGGTATACGATGGATACAACATACAAAATATATCGATTGTTACTGGTAATGCTTCCGGTCAAAGTAGGCTATTAGTAGTTAAGTTCTGGGGGAGTCAAAAGTTATATGTGGATTTTCAACTGTGCCAGGGGTCAGTGCCCCTAACCCCTATGTTGTTCAAAAGTCAATTGTAATTTCAAGTTCCTCATTTAAGAATTTCATTAGGGGGGCCTGGCTGGCTCAGTCAGTAGAGTATGTGACTCTTGTGACTCTTGATCTCAGGGCTGTAGGTTCAAGCACCATGTTTGGTGTAGATTACTTAAAAATTTTTAAATAAATAAATAAATATATTTCATTATATTCAAGATATTTGCATATGCCTTTGAAATCTGTTAACAGGGTTAATGTACATTTTGTAAATATTAATTGCCTACTAGGTGATTAGGTACTATGCATTTGGAAAAGAAAAATCTTGGAGTAAGCCTGTTAAAGTGGGAAAACTGAGTAACCCACTATCTTGACATTCTCAGACTGGGGGAAAGGGAGTGGTAATTTCTGACATAAAAAGCAGGGATCTTCATACCCAAAGCCGAAAAATACACCCAGATGGTTTTCTTCAAAATCCCCATCTCCCACAGATACAGAATTACATGGCGGATCACCACTCACCTTGTGCTACTGTTGACATGACCACGGATGGTGTGGAAGATACCACAGCTGTCACCGCAACTGTACTGGGAATAGGTGACGGTGCAGAACTGCTGCTGCCACTGCTGCTACTACTGACCAGGGAGGACTGTGAAGCAGTTATAACCACTGGTGGCTTCTGGGTTGTGGAAGCAATGACTGATGTTGGTACAAGCTTAGTGACTGCTGCATAGTTATGGGATTTGGAGAGAATGTTGGGCACGAAGGTTGAACTTGGTGATGTGGTCACTATAATAACCTAAGGAAGGAAAAATAAGTTATTTTCATGAACCCACTACACTACAGGTACATATAATCCAAAAATAGTTTAAGAAATATGAAGAAACAATTCATCAAAGAGAAATACACAACTAAAAATATGCGTAAGCTTTCCTTTACTAGTAATCATCAGAGTTGTTTAAAAGAAACAACTTTTACCAACCAAATATTTTTAAAAACAATGTTCAATGCTGTATAAGATACACTGAAATAAGCATTTCAATATACTGCTTAGGGAGTATAATGGGCACAATCTTTCTAGAAAGTAATTTGGATAATCATTCATTTATAAATATTTGTTGAGCATCTACTATGTGCCAGGCATGGTTCTAGATGCTGGGGATAGTGGAATGAACAAAGCAGACAAAGTTCATACTTCCATGGAGCTAAATTCTAATAGGTGGGGAGGGAAACAATAAACAAATTAGAAAAGTAAATATATGTCACATAGAGAGAAATGGAAGAGACAATAAAGCAGGGTAGGAAATAAAGAATATTGGGAGTACTGTGTTATTTTTTTATATAGTATTCAATGAAAATCTTTCTGATAAGGTAACATTTGAGCAGAAACTAGAAGCAGGGTGTGAACCATATTGCCACCTTGAGGAAGTGCATCCAATGGCACAGAGAGCAGCAAATAAAAAGGCCCTCAGGCAGAAGCAAGCTTGGTATCTTCAATAAACTTCAAGGACCTAATAAAGGGGATCAGAATTTAGGAAATAGTAGTAGGAGACAGAATCGGGGAAGTAATGGGGGACTAGATGATATAAGATCATGTTGATGCTATATAGCCTTGATATGATATGATGAAAATGGCACTTTATCAATGTGGTCTTCCTTTTAAAAACCCCAAACCTAGTTTAATCATGAGAAAAACATCAGATAAATTCCAATAGTGAAGCAGCCTACAAAATATCTGACCCGTATTCTTTAAAACTGCCAAACACAAGAGAAGTCTTGAGAAACTTTCACAGCCAAGAGGAACCTAAGAAGACATGACAAGTAAATGTAATGTGGTATCCCAGAACAGAGAAAGACAATGGGTAAAGAAATCTGAATAAACCACAGACTTAATCTTAATGCATCAATACTAGTTCATTAATTACAGCAAAGTACCATAGTAATATAAAATGTTAAGAACAGTGGAAACTGAGTGTAGGGTATATGAGAACTTTCTGTACTATCTTCTCAATTTTTCTGTAAATCTAAAACTATTTTAAAAAATATTTTTTAAAAAGCATCACTCTGTCTGCTAGATGAAAAGTACAGTAGGGCAGAGGTAGTAAAAACAGGGAGACAAATTAGGATGCTCCTGGAATAAAGCAAGCAGAGATGATCGTGTTCAAAGTGTTTATAGCAGAAGTGGTGAAAAGTAAACAGATTCTGAATATACTTAAAGGTAAAACCAACAGGATTTGCTCATAGCTTGATACAGGGAATGGAGGGGAAAAAAGAAGCAGAAAGAGACTTCAAAGTTAGCCTGTATGGCTAGAAAAGTGTAGAAGATATAGGGAGACAAAGAATTTCAGATGAGAAAGAACAGGACAGAGCAAAGGACCTACAGTTGGAATCAGCCTGATGTATTTAAAAACAGAAAGCAAGCTGGTGTAGCAAAAGGCATACAGAGCAAGGAGGGGCTGGCAAAGTAAGGAGAGGCCAGATCATATTTATAAGCCAGAGTAAAGGATTTAAATTTTATACTAAGTGCAATAGGAAGCCATAGGAGGATTTTAAGTGGGGAAACAACAAAATTTGATTTATATTTTAAAAGATCATTCTAGCTGCTATGTGGTGAGTGGCAAGAATGGGAGCAGTGAGACTAGTAAAGAAACTATTGCAGTAGAGCAGGCAAGAAATGATAGAGGCTGCTTGGACTGGGGTGTTAGTAGTAGAAATAAAGAGAAGTGATCACATGCAGATTCTTTTAAGAGGTAGAGTCAATAGGACTTGTTGATGTAGGGAAATCGTAGGCCTAAGGAAAATAACATAATCAAGATAACTCCTAGAGCTAATATGCATTGGATAAATTTAGATCTCCCCAAAATTCTATGACATAGACACAATTATTATCCCCATTTTACAGCTGAGAACACAAAAATCATTTACAAACCTATAGTATCACAGTTTTATTCCAGGTGGGTATAATGGTGGTATGGTGATACCCAAAACAGAGCAGAATTTCTTTTTCTTCTTTCACCAAAATTACCTCTACCTATCTAGGGCAGAAAATTGTTTTGAAAAATCCAAAGAAATTAAGGGAGAAATTCTCTTTCATTTTCACATTAGTCCTAAAGAAGGCCTGATGTTAAATCAGTTGGTCAAAATTTACTGATTATGTCCGCACTCAGTACCAACATCTCAAGGATGACTATATTATCATTATTTTGACTATATCATCATTATTATATATTTGTAGTGTCATGGAAAATTATAAGATGTAACTACATATCCACTACTTTAAGCAGTTTGTTAATTATTTGACGAGTCAAGAGAGATATCTAAGTCTTGACCAGCAAACATCTATATAGAGTTGACCAGCATACTTCTAGATAGACTCGATCAGCAAATACCTATATAGCATTATCACAAAAACAATCATAAGCCATCATATAAACTGAGAAGTAGTAGATCAATATGGTAAAAAGACCAGAAGTTTAAGAGTCGAACCTGAGCTTAATTCTGCTTGGGCCACTGACAAATGGCAGGCCCCTGGACAGGTTAAAATCTCTAGACTCCAATTTTCATCTATAAAATAGGGATAATAATACCTACCTTCCAAATCACTACAAGGATTGAATGAGATGATGATGTGAAGCATCTAACATAGTGCTAGGCACATAGCAGGTGGTCAATATTTGGCAGTCAACAAACAGTAGTTATTAGATTACTACTACTATTCAGTAAAGGTGTTATAGATCAATTCAATCTGGAAATATATTTTATGTATTTTTTTGTTTCATTAAAAAATGTTATATATCTTTTATAATGTTATATATCTTTTTCCCAAATTCTGATACCCCTGAGAATCCAAAGAACTCATAGCTACTACCACAGTCAAACCAATTATAGTGATAATGGCAATTAGGTTTCACATTTGCCAATTCTGAACTCATAGTAGTAGCTTCCTGGAGCAGTATTTATAAGGACTCTGTGACACAGATAAGGATTCACCAAGGCTTGGCAGGAAAGTATGCCACAGTCAATTAACAATGTCTGTCATGGGCAAGGGAAGGGGAAGCATTCACACTTGTGTCAATTATTTCCAATATTAAAACTAGAGTATCCATGTAGGCTTCTAACATTAAGACAAAATTTCAGCAAAATAAATCTAGAAGTCTTTAAGAGCATGTTTTAGGCTATAGATACAAATGATAAGATTTCAGTCTGCATGTTGATTTCTGATCTGAAAAGGGGTTATCCAAAATTAGAGATCCACCTTAAAGAAAATTTACTTGTACTTTAAAGTTACGAATTACAACAGGGGAAATAAAGGTATTTTGAAACCAAGTGAACCAAACAGTGTTTATTCAGGCCATAATTCAAATTACTGACCTTCTAGCACTCACAAAAACTCCTTAAGAGTGCTGGGACTTGCACCCTAAGGATAAAATGAAAAATATCAATCAAGCACGTGAAAGCATAAAGCTGTATTTTGTTGCTTTGTTCATATAAGTGCTGTACCAATGTTATACTTAAAATGAAGGCACCACATTAACATAGGTGGAAATTTGTCTACCCTGAAAATATATGACCTATTTGAATTTGAATCAAGTCCACAAATTCATAAATAATTATACTTAATGTAAAAGTCATTTACCTAAAATAATTCCTAAGTTGACTTACATAGGATTTGTGAGAAATCCAAGGTGAATGCAATAAGGAAAACACCCTTCCAGAGATTTCAAAGAAGTCCAATAACCCAGCAGAAGGAAAACAAAAAACAAACAAAAAATCCCAAAGAATATCTATTAGTGCTACCATACTCAGCTTGTCCAAGAAGTAACAAAACCAATGGCATTGGGTACACATGAAATAAAGGAGTATAGTTTTGCCTCTGGAACATAGTAGATACTCAGTAAATATTTGTGGAATGAATGAGTCTTATTTCTAATTTAATTTGTTTTAAATGTTAATTTTTTCTGTACAGTAGGACAAATCTAAGGTTCTGAGCTTGGAATCTCCTGGTGTGGTTCATATGACCTTGGAGACAAATATGCCCTCTTATAAGCATCATATGTCTGACAACCTCGACTATCCATTCTCACTTGGCAAATCCGAAGAAAAAACAAAAATAAAGATACGATAAAGTCATTGAATCAAAACAAAACAAAAAATGCCAACTTCACTTACAGGTGAACCTTCCATCTTTTACAGGTATTTTTATACATGTATACCAAAGAAGATTCTAAAGTTAATAATGTTAGATGACATTTACTAAGCATTCATCATATGCACTATGTTAAGTACTCTCCATGAATCATCTCATGTAATTATCCTGATAACTCTGGGAAGTAAGTACTATGATCTTTGTTTTATAAGGAAACTGAGGCTCAAGAGAAGTGACAGAGTCAGAACAGGAATCAGATCTATTCATTTTTTTCATTCATTCATTCAACAAACATTAATTAACACCTTCTATGTGTCATGAACTATTCTAAATACTAGGGAATACAGTGATGAATAAGATAAAGTCTTTACCCTCAGCAACATATATACTCTATGGGAGAAATAGGAAATGAATAAATATATAATATGATGTTAACCAGTTATAAGTATAATAAATAAAAATAAAACGAGTAAGGGAAGAGAAAGACATGGATGGGAGATGGGTGCTCTTTCAGCTATAACTTTGCTACACTATTTCTCAAATACCAAATTAAAAGAGTAGATGAGAAGGGGGAAGACAGAAGAATTACAGATAAATAAGTCCCAGCAAAAAAAAAAGGCAGTAAAAAATGACAGTAAGTAGACTTAAAAACTCATAGAGTATAGCAGGCTGGTAACACTTAATATAGGGCTAGTCTAGAAAGCAATAACGATATCATAATATTATATGACAAGTGATATTCAGAAGGGTTACCTTGGAGTCATCAAGTACAGATGCAAAAATCATGTTCAGTGTAACATTTAAAAAGTCATCAAAAATAGTTAATTTCTATATATTAAGGAGTAAGCTTCAGTTAACTGATGAATTCATTTTGGCAGAGCTCATTCTCAACAGTGCAAATAAATAAAACACTGTCTTACATAAAATACCATCAAGGAAAGGGAGCTAACATTTTTTTGAGTATATACCTATTGTTGTATTTTAAAATACCCAGTCTCATTTAATCCTCACAGTAACTTTTTAAGATTCGCATTATTCTCATCTCACTGATGGGAAAACAGATTTAGAGAGACTAATTTATCTCAGGTCATACTGGAAGAGCCAGGGTTCCAACCCAGGCCTCTTTGACTACAAATATTCTTGCTTGATTTTAACACGATACCATAATGCTTCATCCTAAAACTGAAAATAGAATTATATTCCACAGATCAGCTCATTATCACTTACGATTTACTAAGAAAATAATTTCTCATGTATTATGTAATGACATCTTTCCAGGAAACTCAAGGAGGTTCTTTAAATGAACGTTATTGTGTATCTGAGGGTTCAAAAGTGGGAAAGATCACCGGCTAAAGATAAGAAGGTACCTCCAATCCTTCCCCCAAATCCCTCTAAAATGGCATGAAGGGATTTTTTTTTAAAGGGGAAGAGGCATGTAAACTCCTAAGGTCAAAATGAAAAGAAGGTAACAGCTGTAAAGTTTTGTAAACTAGAAAACAGATAAGTAGTAATCAATCAAGCATAGCCTCGAAAGTGGAAACCAGAGAACCCGAGAAAGACTCAGGAATTGAGAGCTCGAGATATGTCTTAAGTGGGAGTAAAGGTGGCACTAGAGAGAGGAAAATTAGTTGAAAATCTATTTAAGCAGTATTTATATCTACAGCTATCCTCCCCCACCCTAAAGGAAGACTAGGAATTTATTCTCTTGAGGGAGAGGTTGAATCCAAGGAAATTTGCTAATACTGGGCCGAGGGAGCTGAGTGCTGTGCTACAGAGGGGTTAAGTGAAGTATATACTGAATGGTGAGACTATCCAGCCTGTTCCCTCCATTTATTCCCCAAATACTGGCAGACTGGCTAACTACTCTAAGCAGGAGACTGGAAAATTCTTCTCTGAGGAAATCTGACCAGTCCATGATAAAGCCCTAATGAGAGTGATAACTGATAGAGATAAAGGGGTAGTGGGTTTTTCTCAACGAAACAGCCCAGCTAGGTCAACCTACAATGAAAGTCACCAGCCAACATGCCCCACTCTACACATACAGCTTTCTGTCAGCTTTTAGTGCCCATAATCAAATATAAGCAGACAGCCAGCCAGCATTCAAGAAAACTAAAATGAAACAGATCAAAACAAATAGATAAAAGGAACTTACAGGTAGGAGAGAAAACATGAAAGAATAAAACATCAAAAAAAGTCATGAATATCATCAGAATATAGTGATTTTATGAAAGAACAGGATGCTGGTTTTTTTTTTTTTAAAAAAGGGAACTTTCAGAGATCAAGGAAGAATTACCAGAAATTTAAAGTATGATAGCAAAAATGACAAATCCAGAAAAGTAGTGAAGGATAACATGAAAGGATAGAGAAAATAATACTTACAGAGCATTTACTATGTGCTAGGCCCTATTCTAACAGTTTTATATTTATTATCTCATTTATTTATACCCCAAAACCTTATAGATTGTTTTCCATTTTTCAAATGAGAAAACTTAATTCCAGAATTTAGGTTCCCCAAAGTCACAAAACTAATAAGTTGCAAAAACTGAGATTCAAATTCAGAAGTCTAGTTCCAAAAACCCAGGCTTTTAACCACTGTATTACAGTAGAAAGAAAAAGCAAACAAATGGAAAATGGGAGTGAGAAAAGACAAGCAAAAGGTTCAATCCAGGCAGTTCAACATCCTAAATAGTTGATCCAAAAAGAGAGAACAGAGAAAAATCTAGAAAATAATTCAAGAAATTTCCTAGAACTGAAGGACATGAGTGTCTAGAGTGAAAGGGACCACTGAGTGTGTACCAATGGATAAAATAAAGACCCACACCAAGAAAAATTACCTTGAAATTTCAGAACTCTGAAAGTTACCAAGAGTTTTCAAAGAGAAAAGGAGGAAATTAAAATGGCATTGGGCTTCTCAAAAGCAATACTGAAGGCAACAGCCAATGGAGCAATATCTTCAAAATTCTCAGGGAAAATTACATCCAACCTAAAAAATACTTTACCTAAACCATCAAGAAAGTGGGAGAGTAAAATAAAGGCATTTTCAGTCCACTACACAAGGTATCAAAAAATTCACCTTCCATCCACACCTACATCAAGAAGCTACCAGAGGATGTTCCAGCAAATGAGTAAATAAATGAAAGAGGAATACCAGCATGCTAGTGAAGGGAGACCCCAGAAATACAGGTGTGCAACAAGCCTAGGGTGCCAACAGCATCCATATTAGTGTGGAAAGTTAGAGGGTTCTAATAACATACAACTGACAGAATATTGTTGATTTGAACATACTGAGAAAAGTTTAGGAAAGAACTAATGATAGCATACAAAGAATAAAAAAAGAAGGCAACAGTAATTATTCACTTAATCATATCCTTCCTGTCTTCTATAAAACACCCACTTCTGACAACTTTGTTACTCTGGCAAAGTAAAAACTGAGTTCCTAAAGGTAAAGTTATCCATATATAGGTCAAAAAAAATTTTGTATTTTAGTTTTTTCCCAAATGGCATTACAATAATAAAATAGAACAAAAGTCTTAGAAGTATGAGATCTGCTGGCTGCGTGACATTAGGCAAGTCATTTGGCATCTCTGAGCCTCATCTACAAAAAGTGAATTAATAATACCTATCCCAAGGGTGATAGGTATTATTCTGTGCAGAATTAAAGTAAGAGACCTGATCATTCCCAGCATAATGCCAAGCACATAGTAAGCACTCAGTGCATGTTTGTTAAATCTGAATCATATTGACTGAAAGAAATGGAAACAGCAATCAGCAGAGACTCCCTCCTTCACATACCTTTTGTGTTGTTGTGTTTGTCGTCTGTGTTGATGGTTTGGTGAAGGTTATTTTCACAGGAGACATGTGGGGTGGTAAGGAGTTGGCAATGCTCTGCATGATGTTGCTCATCTTGGGACTGCCACTCACAGGCACAGTGATCGTCTTTGAGACCGGAACAACAGCCTTTGGAACTTCCTTTAGGACAACAGGGGAGGAGCTAGAAGAATTTGTTCGCCTTCGTTTTCTGGGTTTTTCATCTTCATCTGAACAGCTAACACCTGAAAGGCAATGACAGTTTTGTTGTATTTATCACAATCTAACCCTGCATTTTATACTTCATTTTAAATCTTTGTGTCATCAGCCATCCTTGACCTCTCCCTTTGCCTCATGCCCAATCAAACAGTAAGTCCTATCAATCCTCCCTCAGAAGTTTTCTCTGAATGCCTTTCCTCCCTTCTTTAACCCTGTGGCTATGTCAGGCCTTCTTATCTCCTGCCTGTATTTTAGCAACCTCCTAAAAGATGTCCATGCTTCGAATCACTCCACTTCTACCCTCCATCCTACTGCCAGTTACAGAATCTCATACCTAATTATGTCAATGCCTTGTCTTAAATCCTTAAGTAGTTTTTATCTCCCTACAAGATGAGGCACTTAAATCATTACTACATCATTCAAGGTTCTACAGCTTTCCAAGAACACAATACAGCTGACCTTCAAACACAAGTTTGAACTGCACAGGTCCACTAATATGTGTATTTTTTTGGATAAATACAGTATATTACTATAAATGTTTCTCTTTCCTCTTATGATTTTCTTAGTAACATTTTCTTTTTTCTAGCTTACTTTATTGAATGAATACAGTATATAATACATATACAAAATATGTGTTAGTCATCTGCTTATGTTATCAGCAAGACTTCTGGTCCACTATAGACTATTAGTATTTAAGTTTTTGGGGAGTCAAGGTATATGCAGATTTGACTGCACAAGGAGTCAGCAACCCTAAGCCCCACATTGCTCAAGGGTCAACTATACCCTACTCTACCCAAACCTGTGCACCCTTATAATCCCAGTACACTGAAGTGCTCACGATTCCCCAAAGCCACCTTAACATATTCTATACAACCAGAGTCTCCAAACACTATTGTTCTTTGGGGAATACTACCTACCAACAATGAACTCTTCATCATCCTGCAAACCATCTCCTCAGTGACACTCTCCTTAGTCCTCTAAGCAAAACTAATCCACATCTCTGAGCTTAAGCACTTTGTATATTCTCTTCTTTATCACTCACCCCATGGCAATGTGGCTGCTGGTCTGCACATCTGCCATTATTAAGGGGCTCCCAGAGGGCGATGACTAAGACTTATTGGTTTGTTTCCCCAGTACAGTGCCTTGCACATATGAAGCTAGATTAATGAATGATTATATCTCAAACTAATGTTGCCTGTGTGACTTCTGAGAATAAAGCAATAAACTTCCTATTATTTTAAACTACATTTTATGTTTAAAGGTTTCCTCGGGTTTGGGATTCACTTTCAGTGTTTTAAAAAATTATCAAAAAAAAAAAAAAAGGGGCGCCTGAGTGGCTCAGATGGTTGAGCGTCTGCCTTCGGCTCGGGTCATGATCCCGGGGTCCTGGGATCAAGCCCCGCATCAGGCTCCCTGCTTGG